TTTTGGTTTCCATCTGAGGCTGTTAATGCAAATTTAGCTCTAAAAACAAGGTTAATCTCTGGGACAGAGAACCTTTGATGGCTGGACATTCCCATGCTGTTAATATTTGCATATTGTTTGAACAGAGCGAGTCTTAAAGTGTCTGGAAACTGTATCCAAAGATAATCCACAATTCTCCTCCTGTCATGCACCGCACACAACCACTTAAATGCATTTATAAAGTGCACATAGATATCTGGTTTTAACTGTATACCAACAACAAAACCTTACATATCTCTATAAAGTCCATGTAAGTTTGCATATACCAACATTTGGATGTGTAAACATGTTTTTTTGTTGTTGTTGTTGTTTGTTTTCAGTATGTGCACAAAGTATATTCCAGAGCTTCGTGACTGTGTGAGTATGAGGCTCGGCTTAATTTAGCAGGTGTGCTTTGACAGTTCTTGAATGAGAGCCAAGGCTGCTGTTAGAAGGATAAGAAAGAAGAGGCGCTCAGTCTGCATCTGTGTGGAGCTTGACTGTGACAGATGGGGACGGTTTAACTTATAGAGTTCTGTTAAGATCTGTAGGTTTACTCTGACGATGTCTGTGCCAAACAGGTGTGTATTCTAAAAACACCACGGAGAGGAAAAAGGTGAACGAGCCTCGACTGACGTATTTGTTTGTTAGTGGCGTTGCTGCTGATGGAAGGAGGCCTTGTTTTTTTTTCCCCAAAGACTTTGTGTGGGCTTGTGATTGTGTTCGGTTCTGCCATTGGAAGACAAAAGGGATTTTGTTGTTTTAAAAAAAAATCGAAGCAAATTCCTAACTTTTCACCATGAGAGGTGTGACTGTAAAGGGTACAAAATGCCACCTCTTGTACTCTTCTTTGCCTCGTTTGAGTGCAAAGGATAATTCTAATACACACAAAGCTGAAGATTTTAACTTTCGTTTCGATCTGCTGTGTAATCGTTGAGATATTTCTCCAAACGCTGCGCATCGCTGCTTGCGTGTGTTGGCTGAAACAGCTACTGTCGGTAACGGCTGCACAGTTGAAAAGTTCATCCAGTTAGTGGTGGCCAGGTGTCTCACAGGCGGGCAAGACGCTCCACCATATGCCCGCTTCTCACCACCAGACGCCAGCCGTCCCAAGCACCGACTTTCACATGTTCCACTTTCACTGCACAAGGTGAAAACTTGCCTTGAGCCCGGCCAACTTGTGCGTTTGCCTTCGCGGAGGAGTGAAACTTACTCGGTCACTGTTGCGAATTAATACAGAACAATTAATAACCTAGTCAGGAAACAAGAACGACTGATTTGAATGCATTTCTGCAGGATTTATGACACACCAGCAAACTTGCAGATTATTTTGCCTCCCTCCTGCATGCTGATTGGAGGTTTAAAGCGGTAATGAAGTCCTGGTGTGTCCTCCTGCTGGGTTTGTATTTGGTGAGGGGTGCCTGTGTGTCGCTGATAGAGGGATCTCTCTGACACGGCTGCTCTGGCTCGCCGCATCTGGAAGCCAGCAGCGGCAGCCGCTGGGGGGAGATAAGGAGAGGCTAGTTGCTCTCCTGTAACTCACGTTTTTGCCCCCCTCTGTCCCGTTCTCCTTCTACTTCGCCATTCCTCCCTCCAACCATCCCCTGTCCCATCATTCCCCCCTCCTCTGACCTTATCTCGAGGGAGAAGGCACGACTGGGTCGCTGCTGTGATAGCACCTGCCAGAACCAGAGCTGGTCTCTGGTGATTATGGGGGAATCATTATCTCTCCCTCCCCAAAAACTCATTTTATACCTGCCAACATCTGAGGGGAGGCAAGGGGAGGAGCAGCAAGGGAGCAAAAGGCTTCTCTAACAGGTACAGCACAAAACTGTGTTTATCAACAGGGAAAGTGCAAATATAGAAATCAAAATTGGATTAAAAAAAAAATTGTTACTATCAGACCTTTGCAACATTTGCTTTGTAACTGATCTCGAAGATGAGCAAAGATCTTGTTCACCGCGAACGAAAGGAGACACATTTCTGCATTAACAGACATTTAGAAGGAATCGGATATTACTGGAAAGGCAACGAGGAGCTTCTTAGTGTGTTAATTAAATGTTAAATGCTTCTTTCTGTCATCTCATTTACAGCTCTCGTTGATTAGACTTTGATTACTCTGTTATTTTATTTATTGGACATTCTGAGAACAAAAATTGTAGATATTTCCCAAAATTCCAGCCAAGTGCTTATCATCTTTAGTTATTCTTAATCTTATTATTATTATTTTTTTTTATCTTAGTTTAAACAATCTTCTCTTAGATTTTACAACCTGTTTCTGATGAGGTTTAGTCCATCTTCAGTGTCTTCTCCTCATCATTAACACAACTATGTTTTCTTAATACTACAAACCAACTTCTTCATCTTTGCCAGCTGCACATTTATATACCTTTTATTTTATGTTTTATGTCTAGCCCAGCCCGGTCATTTCCTCCCTACACAGTTCCACTCAATTCTCATCTCCTTTCCGTTCTCAGACTGGGATTTCTCCCATTCAGCTGGACTTTTTTTTTAGATTGAATTTCAACTGGATCAATCAGCAAACAGAAAGAGAACTTGTGAATGGTGTCGATTTTCTGCGATGTTTCAGGATTACAGTCTGTCTGTAGCTTTAGCTACACGGATTGAACAAAGCTGTTCAGTCTGTGTTGGCAAAGTTTATTTGAACTTCAACAAAGTCTACATCTCCAGCAAGCTATCGCTTCTCGATCGGTTCTACACTTTGTATGAAGCAAAGTGTAAAAAGATGTCTGGTTTTTACCAGGCTATGTTTAGTATAATTTTTTTATTGTTGTTTTTCTTGGTGGTGCATTGGTACTGCCTTTATCTTTTTTTAAAAACATTTTGTGTTGCCTTTGCGTAATTAAAGTGGTTTATAAGTTATGACTTTCTACTCCCTATAAATCAAGCAGAATGTCAAGCAATTCAACTCAGACAGAAGGGAGACAGAGATTCGCAGTCCTAATTCACAATCATATTTATATTCAGCTTTATTAAACCTATAAATACCGCATGTTTATAACCAAAGGTGGGGAATTCCAATGGTTCCAAGTAAAAATACATTTAAAAACCACCCCCATTTCGTAAACAGCACTTTCTGAGGGTTTATAGAGAAATCAGTTCTCCGTCACTATCCCCCCGCTACGCCCAAATACTGAGAAAGCCACATCAGGTTCTCTCACTTCCTCTCTGCTGATGACCATCTGTGTGTTGGTTTCAGCTAGGCGATTGGCACATCTGTTTGCTCACATCCCGTCTCACTTCTCTCATCCGCAGAGCCCGAGCACCAATGAGAATTTGTGACAGAGCCGCTGCTGGGGAGCATTGTTGCTACACACAGTCTGAAATTCAGATGGAATGAAAACCCTGAGTAGAAATACATCGGTTTCAAGTTAGTAAAGCGAATATCCGTACAATAGAAATATGTTTTAATCATGATTCTACTTGTAGTAGCCTCCAGATAAAAATACTTAGAGTAAGGGAAGGCAGGTAAAGGTTTGGACGCTTATTCTGCTCAGCTATTTTATGTTCTCATGCTGTGAATCAGTTTCAGCTCTCGATGTTTTTATGATCAACCTGACATTTTGATTTAATCGAAAATGCCTCCATGGAGCACCATTTATACTCTTTCAATTTGCAATATCAAAATCGGGAATTGTTAAGATTTTTCTGCATTTTTGAGGCTGTTTGTTCAAATGTAATTGTGAGAAATCTAATTCAAAATCAGTCTCTATATGTTTGAAAAAAATAAAAATAACTTGGCAATAAAATTACACGTAGTTTAATCTTATAAGTTCCAGTTAGATAGATTTTAACTTTTGTGTGGATCTAAAGCAAATGAATTAAAAAGAAAAAAATTCCAAGGGGAAGAAAGTTTGACTTCCTTGTTTTTGTATTTTGAAATAATAACAGTAATTGATGAATGGGGGATTTCCCCATTAATCTCTGTCGTACAACGCTGAAATGTGTGTAACTGGGCCCTGAGTCATTCCAGTTCTTTCTATATTTTGCTTATCGTGAGACTGACTTAGTTCATGGCTATTTTTGTTTTATCACAACTTTTATATTAAATCTTTTAACTCTGACATTATGAATCATTCAGGAATAAAAAGGCTCCCAATCGCAGAGAAAGAATCAAGGCATTTTCCACTCAATCTTTAAGCACTTTGTTTCATAGCAGCCTGCCACCAAGACAGAGCTGGTTCCCATTTCCAAGAATATATCAAAAATACCGATCTGAACAAAGAACACATAGAAAAGCATCAAAAAGGTGATTCCCAAAGAGACATGGGCTGGAAACTTGGGAAACATTTGATAACCAACTGGGGTCTTGTTTAAATTTCCAAGTAAAATGAATTGTAATGTGTTCAACACCATTGAGCAAAGCTGTGTAAGCCAGCATGCTCTCTTTTTAAAGATTGACTTTTACATCTTCTGCCTGCATTTATATTTACTCCATAAATTTTGACAAAATTATTTATTCATGCAATACGTCTTGTGAGAAATCACAAAGTTTTTCGCAACTTGGCGGGAAAAAAAAAATCACATTTGTGTTTGCCTTTTTCATTTCCAGATCTAAGATTTACTGAAAGAGTTCAGTTCTCTCTTGACTACAACCCCCACCCCAAAATTATTGTGGTAAAAGTGAAGTTGTGTCCTGTGCCAGGACGGGAATCATAGAAATGTCTCCATGTATTGAGCACACTTTGCCACCTGATTTAAATTATGGATGACAAAGGACAGAGTGTTTGGCAGGTGTGCAGTTAATTAAATTTTACTCATATTTTCCTGCCTATTCTTAGCAGTTTTGTGAAAAATATGTTTTCTCAGAATATTTCAGTCGTTTGATGACTTTCCCTTCACATTTAAGTTGGTGGCCTTCTCCTATTTCACACGGTCAATTATGATGCACAAAAAATCAACGTAACACATGGAGCTGATAGTTAAACAGTTGAAAGGGTACATAAACTCAAACAACAAGCTGAGGGGTGATTTTTATTTTTATTTTTATTTTTTATTACAAGGAACAAAAGCCACCAGACAAGGTGCACAGAAGCAAGGGTGAGGTGCCTTAGAGCGGAGGATACAGGAGGGGAAGAAGTGGCTGCAGGCCGACACAGCTGGTTCCTGACAGAGGAAGCCCACATGGAGGCCCAGGTCCTGCTGCCTGCTGTTGTCTGCTGCTATCAACACAAGCAACCTTGCTGCCTGGCCTCCCCGGAGGCTGCAGCCCTGCAACACAGAAAAAAGAAAAAAAACACACAAACTGTAACATCCAAGCACACACTTCTCCTTTGAGCTGCAGTGGCGGGTAGAGTAGGAGGAGGGTTCAGATGAGAGCACAGCCCCTCTACAGGAGCCACAAGACAAGCTGACCGGCTGGTGACGTTCAGTCACACGCGTTCTAGATTGCCTCACACAGGCTTTACTGAAAAATATAAGACACACAGGAAGAGAACCAACAGAAAAGAAGAAACCTTTAAATTAGCTCAGAAATGTTCCTGTTATAGGGATCCGCTGAGACGGAGGAACAAGAGTTTTAAGTTGGGGATGGTACGGTGACCGTAAGGTGCTTTGCATGTGCTGAAAGCAAAAGCTGTAAGCAAGCAAGAACAAGGAGACACCAGGAAAAAAAATTCAGCCAGGACTGAAGACTTCAGTAAGTACGCGGAGGAAAGAAGAAACCCCCGTCTCTGTTTCTTTTTAATATCTGGAGAGTCGTGTACAGTTGAGACGGCCGTGTCCTTGCATGGCGGTTCAGCAGGTCATACGACTGTCTCCTGGGACCTCAAAGGCGAAGATTATGAAGGAAAACAAGAAACTACAAGCTGAGCTGGGAAATTATCTGATCTAACAGCAACTTTAAGTCTGACACCACTTCGCTGCTGGGCAGGTCAAACCTGAAGGCCAACAATCTGCTAGTCTCCAACCTGACCAACCGTGGAAAGGAGTGCTAGCATGTCTGCCGAGGTCCACTTAGAGCGGCAAAAGAGGAACGACTTGGGAGCAACATCGTCCTCCTTTGCTCCTGCCTTTGCGCCACGTGTTCCCACGGTCACACTCATCAGCCACAGGGAGCTGAGGGAGAAGCGCGCTGCCCACAGACTCCAGCCTGGAAGCCTCGACCACAAGCTGGTGGCCAGCAGCCTTTACAGATATACTGAAGGTAGGAGCCTGCCCTCTCACAGGAGCTGCTTCATGAAATCTTCTGGCTACGCCGTAGCCGCGACAAGTGAGGGAGGGTACCACAGCTTGGCAGATAATCAGTTTGTGTTGACTTTGCTGTAAGGGCAATGGCAGGTTTCTTCATATCACTGGTAAACCTGCTAACTGATGAGTGAAGCCTTAGTATTAAGCTTGGAAGGACATGAAACCTCTGGGTGAAATATAAGCTTCAATTTAGAGATAGACTGCTATTGAATTCAACACTGTGCCCTTTATCATATTGGACTTCACATGGTCTGTCAAGTTCAAATGTTGCTAACAAGCCCATGGAGCATATTTATCCTGTGGCACTGGAAAGGAAAGGGAAAGAGGTGTTTTTAGAGCAATGGGTGGGTGGAGGGGGTCTTCCTCTGGGCTTCCCCATACAGCTGCAGAGAACACAACTCCATTCTGGAGTTTCGCAGTTCGGCTTCAATGAATTCCTAATGCCCATACAGCCAAATGGCCGTAAACGGCTCGCGGTGAATGCCAGAGGTACAACTTTAAGGCAAGCTTGCAGCAGACTGACGGGGAACACTTGAAAGGCACTCTGGAAGAAACGGAAAAAGAAGTGCCTTGAAGTATAAATGAAAACCTGACTTGAATCAGTGAAGGTTGTGATGAGAGAGATGCATTAACAATCAGACTTTAAAAGACTAATTTTGTAGGCTCTAAATATGTAGGAACGGTAAGCCAGAGCGAGGACTAATACCCAACGTGGTGAATTACCTGCAGCGTGTCCCGTCTTTTGGCAGTAATGAGCTTTGTGAACGTTGCAGTGATAAGGCCTCTATAATTAGGCTTAGTCATAAGCATCCCTCCTGTATTTCTGTGATAAAAACCCAGAACTCTGGTGTTGGTGCTCAAACAAATTACGCTCACACATTCACATTTTGCAGCTAAATCAAAATGGTCCACTTTGGACCGTAAACACCCTGAGCCTTTTGTTTCAAGCAGTTTACCTGATGTCTAAACGTATGTGGATGGATATGTACAGTCGAGTAGCATGTTAACACTGTATGGGGAAGCAACAGCACGCTGCTTGTGCGTGTGCGCGTTCACCGGTGTGTTTTTGTGTGTTTGGGAGGTGTTGTGTGCCACAGCGTAGGCTTCCTGTGAAGGAGCAGATGTCGCAGAGCTAAAGCACAGCTGCGACGGGCGATAACCGCGGTGGCAAGAATATGTCGGCACGCTGGCTCTTCTCCCTGGTTCTTATCAGTCGCACCCAGCACACAGAGTCACACACACATGCACGACCATAGACACTCGTATAAACACTCCACAATAAGGAACTGCCACCTAGCACTAGCACACCCTCCCAACAGGCCCAGATAGAGCAAGTACGTCAATGAGAGGGATAGATGGAGAGAGGCAGAGCAAGAAAAGCAGACTAAATCAAGGGACTTTGATGGAAAAGCTGGAAAAGAATCCTCAACAAAGCGTTGGCTCATGTCTCCTGTATCATAGACTTCATAATTTGAATGCCAGTCCTAATCCTCTGCAGATATGAATTGGATATTCTTTACATTTCTCTAAAGAAACGTGCCACCAGTAATGGCTTTTCAAAACATCAAAAATAACTCTATAGCTTACTTAATATTGATGATGCTTGATTAAGTTGCATAATTTAGGTAGAAATACAAGAATTATAATTTTCTCCATGCTGCATCTTTTAAAACCAATAGTTCGTGGTATTTTTTTCGCTCATAGTTTTTTTTTTGCGCACTACTTGACGAAATTGCAGTTATTGCATAAATTCCCAGGAGGAATTTATGCAATAACTTATTGTCGACATCTATCTCTGCTGGCCAAATGACCGCTGCAGAAGCACAGGTCAGCTGTCGGGTGCATGTAAAGACAAGTAGCCCATGGCTCTTCACTTACCACTCGAATGATGTTATCTTCTATACTTTGTGTGGTTTGTCACACAGTTTTGTCAGGTCACGAGGTCTGCAGTTAGCCTGATAAATAAAACTGTCATGTTCAGAGTGACGGCACAAAATTTGCCAATGCTTAAAACCAACATTTTATAAATTTGCAGCTTACCTGAAAATGCAGTTTGCATTTTATTGACTAAATCAGTGGTTAATTCTCACCTCACATCTCCAGACTGAAACAAACTAAGCAAAAAACAAAAAAACAAAAAGAAAAAAGAGAAAATTTTGGGAAAAGTTGAGGAGTGATCATGATGTAAGAACAGGTAAATGTTGAGTAAATCAGAATAAAAGTGATGGCTGTGTGTGTGTGTATGTGTGCGTGTGTGTGTGTGTGTGTTTGGCAAGACAAGGTAGTAACAAAGTGTGTCTCTGAGAGAAAGAGAGAGCAGTTATCCTCTTTATTTCCTCACTACCAGTGTTGTGGTTTCTATGAGGAACAGATGTTCACAACTTGATATAGTGCCTCATCCCCCTCTGCTCACTATCTCCAGTGCCAGTACCACCAACTGTCTGCAACCAATACACACACGCACACACACGAACACACTGTCTCCTGGGAAAGTCTGTCTGTCGATCTTTCTGTTTGTCTATCTGTCTGTTCGATCTTATCTTTGACCAACCATCCTTCCAAAGTGTCCTTGAGCATGACACTGAACTCCAAGCTTCCTTCTGATCTGGCTAACTCTGCGTCATTGTAATTTGAGTGACTGAAATGACTGAAAAAGCACTAAATTTATTCAGTCCATTTAACATTCAGCTAGTCGTCACTGTCCACTTAGGATGCTTCGCTGCCCATTTCCTTGGGGGTTCAGGTTAAATGTCTTGTTCTAAAATCTACACCTGACCTAATCAGGTGTCACTTCCTCCTCTGTTAGTTTGCAGTTCTGCGAGTCATATCTGGCCATGTGCTTAGAGCTCTCTCTGACTCCATCTTGTCCTGGTCAATGTACGCATTCAGTGGCTCATTTGGTTGTACTCCGTATATTAACATAACAATATTTAAATCAATTAATATGTCAATATTAGTCATCCAGGGACTCACCAGCCCAATTAGTCTCATTCAGTCAGTATTCTTGATGTAAAATGACAAACTAGCTAGGAGATGGAGCATGCATCCATCTCCAAGCTAGATGGATACATGCTAGCTAGCTATATATACATACATAAAAAGAAATAAAGTGTGGCTACCAATGCTAATGGGATGGGTGAAAAAATGATTGTATTCAAGGGTTTGAAATTTCAATTCCTGTCTTGCAGTCAGGCAACACTTTACTGCTCCATTTCAAAGAAAATGTCACAAGGGTCCATAAGTAAAATTTGTAAAAGCATCATTTCAGTTTGTGTACTTGAGTATGTGGGTCAATAATCTGCCACACTGTGTCACAGTGCAGAGACTCTCTTTTTCATCGTGTTCCTTTCTTGGAATATGCTCATGTTTAAGATGTAAGGGAAGGCGCCAGCGTCTTATTAAGTAAAATATTACAAAGAGCACCGTTTAAATTAGTGACCTGATATTTCCACAGGATATATGGGATTCACAAGAAAAGATTTCAACGCAAATCCAACCACTGTGCCAGGATGACGATACAGCATGACATGATATGAGACCCTCGGTCAATGACGTTAACAGCAGCTTCATAAGAGTTTGTGTTGAATTTACACAAATGAGGAGAGGAAAGGATAGGAGAAGACAGAGAAGCACAGGAGCACAATGAGTCTGGCATTCCTTTCAGTCAGCTCAGAGCCTTATCTCTTTTCAACACACTAGCCTGTGACTGCTGCAATAGGAAAGGATTTACAATGTGCGAGTGGAGGAAATGCTGCAAACTTCTCTCTGTCTCTCTTGCCTTTTTACTCTGACTCAGTATTTACACAGACACAAATCATCATTCCCACTGCAGAACAATGACCAATGTCAGTTCTTGCATCTCAGAAAGTGCCCAACCATCCAGGAGATGCTGTCAACATAATAAAGGAGGCGAGGATGAGGTGTTTGCGAGGTGACAGAGAGATAGAGGAGTGAGACGATGGCTAGACAAAGGTGCCTTTGTCATTAGCGCCATCAAAGAGACTTCCAGTCACAGCATTATGCTGCGGGGAGTTCATCGAGGTGAGTTCTCGCCTTGTGTGTGTCTCATTGTGCAGTTTATCAGGCTGGCCACATGGAGCGTCAGAGGTAACCTGGTGACTGCGCAACAAAAGGCCAAATTAAGAGGAGTAAGAGGCTGTCTCTACAGATAGGCTGACAGGTTGACTGACACTGTTCCCATGGAGAATAGCATCCTGTCAATCTTGGAGCTGTCACCTTGACAGGAATTCTTTCTTTGGATGCAGCCCTCATTGCCAACCTTTCTGTCAGTCAAGGCCACACAGATACACTACTGTTTTCAGTATTCTGCACGAGGGGAACCGCCCTCCGCTCCGACATACTAAGAAGATAGACACACACACACATAGGTTTTCCTGTCTTCCCAAGGACTCTGCATCCACTTCCATTCATTTTTCATTCACTTCCATAGCCTAAACCTGATCCTTACCCCAAACCTCACCATTAGCAGGACATGCAAAACCTAACCTAACCTCAATTCACACCTTAGTCTTAAACCTAATCTCTAAACCCAAAACAGCACTTCATCTCATGGGGCCTGGCCATAATCAGCAGTTGGTCCTTACAACATAGTATGTGTCCTTACATTATATCAAATACAAGGCCTATGCAGAACCCTGGGACAAATGACAGAAAAACTTTGTGTTCATTAACTAATTTACATGAACAAAGACGATGCTTGAGGTGAACCTTATGAATTGGCTTCCAGAGCAGTTACTGAAATGCTTACCTGCTTCCAGAAGTTTATCGCCCACCTTAAGTTTGGCAGATTAAAGTTATGCCCACGCATCTGTGTACAGGTGTACTGGACATGTATTTTACGCTAAGTCGTGTTTTGAGATGTCAAAACACCAGTTTTATTAGAAACTGGAAATTGCAATTTGAGCAAAAACCCATTTCTTCACAGGACCTATTTGTACCTGAAGATATATATTTTTTCTCATTGCGGATGCAGGCAACTGATCCTAATCAAGGGAGTGTTTGTGTTCGGCGCTTTGGAGGCTGGTGTGACTGGTGTCGGGGCTCAGCAGCTGTCTGTGTGTACTTTACAAGCTGGTTCTGTTTGTTCTGTAGACACAGGTGAGGTCAGGAGGGTGTCGGCTTTGTCTTCTGTCCCCCTTCCATGGCTATGTACGTGTATGTGTGTGTGTGTCTGATAGAGGGCAGGCGGGTGGGGCAAAGGGCCTAACAGACCAGTGCGGACAGGTGGAGGATTCTCACCATAGCGGCAGCAGATGTACTGTACCTGCCCTTTTCCCTCTTTGTGTCTTTCTGTTTGCCTGGCTAATAGAGTTGTTTATCTGCTAACAAGCTATATACATTTTGACAAATAATAAAATATCTACATGGCATTAAAATAGTAAACTATGTCACTATTGTTTTAATGAAAAAAAAATTACCATCAAATTTCCTTGTTTTCAAAAACATCTTTTATTTTGAACCCTAGAGGCCTGTTAGATGATTTTCTTCTACTTTGTTCTACTGCTTTAAAGTTTGCAAACTTGGCAGACTAACTGAGGTTTTGCACTCATGTTCATTGTCCTTTACAGGCAATTTAGTCACCTTGATGCCAATAAAAGGTTGAAACAGTCAATTAAACATGACTTGGAGATATCAAGCGTTACTTGTGCACAGTGTATGACAAAGTCTTCGCTGCTATTTCAACAAATAAGACTAAGACAATATATCATGAATATGTTAGAACAGTATTAACATCATATGTTTTATGTTTAGTAATCACAACAAGATTTTGTATGGTGTTGTCAAGGTTCAAACTATTAAAAAGCTGCAGATTCATACATAATTCCTGCTCTCAGGCAAATACAAAATGTATTGTCTGGTCAGTGTATAAACATATTGGTTTTCCCAAACACTTATTTAAATGACTTAGCTACTGTAAAATGATGCTATCTATAATTTCTAAGACGACCAAAGATAGTTAAAGGGATAGTTTTGGATTGTTCAGAAGTGATGTTATGTAAAATTTCTATCTATATTAATTAGTCTCCTTACTTGCAGTTATCAGATTATATTTGCTTTGTTTAACTCTTTAACAGTAAGTCTGGGAGTGGAAGGAATGAGGAAGAATGTAACTGCAAGCATGTAAGCAAACACTGAACTGCAGAGTGCAAATACGACGCTTTCCCCAGAGTTCAGAAGCCACAGTCACCTCACCAGAGTTATGTACAGATAGACAGATGGAAGACGGGGTGTCTGTCGTAAAACACGATGGCAGAGAGAACTAGAGTATACAGTGCAAGTGGTAGTGCAAAAATTACCTCTGAGTTACCCTTAGGGATGAGTTCATTACTATTTGTCTATCCTATTTCTTAGTGTTGTTCTATGATTGACCCTGCTTCAGCTCACCTATGGCCCTGTGACTCTGTAAGCAATAAGTTGAGATAGATAGACAGACAGAAAGACATTTTTCTCACCTGATGTCCTAAATTCATGTTAATGTCATAAATTCATGTTGTGCTGATCTGGAGTTCATTTACTGGAATGATTTCCAAAGATACAGCGAAACTTGAAAAAGCACAAGTGCGTGTCATTGATGCTGTTGCACAGGTGGCATTCTCTCCCACAAAATCCAGACATTGGCTTCTTCTCTGCAATTAGGCTTATCGATGCAGTCATCGGCCTTGGCTAATGTGTCGTCATGGAAGGCGTTTGGATGAAAACACAGCAAAAAATGTTTAGATTTTCTTGTGAAAATATAGATGTTTATTACCCACTAATACAGCGTTATATCGGACAAATATAAGCATTTTCAGTTTGAATTGTTTTAAATCAACAAACTCTTACTGTCAGCTGTTCTCCTTTCTCAGGGCTTATGTCCTTTTCCACAAACTCATGACAATAAATTTGTCTTCTACAAAATGCAGAACAACTGATAAAAAGCATCATAAATCATCACTTAGAAAATCTGAACCTTTACGTGTAACCTGCTAAAAGGAAAATCATACCTTTATTGCTTCTTTAATATAAAGAAGCAATAAAGGATGTTTCAGTGATGCCAGTGTAGACAGTGTAACAACCAACCATGGCCTACCACTGATTACATTCTCTCCATCTTCAGATCAGACCACAGAGGGAACTCTCCATGAAAAGAATGTCACCGTCTCAGGCTAATATTCACTGTTTACTCAAATGCCTGCAGACACATTCTTTTACATTTATTCTGCTCCCAAAAAGCCGTCATTGAAGAGTTAGATAAAGTAAATAAAATCTCCACAACCCTGCTACTGTCCTTCTCCTTAACGCCCTGATATGAGGAAACAGCGGCCCCCACCGGCAGACGGTGAAACTGTAAAAGTTTGACTCAGTTCTCGATCCCTCGGTGGGGGTCTGAGACCGAAATGATTAAATCGGGCACACTTCTATTTAGTTTGGAAGTTTTTGAATGAAGACATGTTTTGTTTCGTTTTGGTCCTTGAAACAATTAAATATAAAGTTTAACGCCTGCAAGTGTCTAAAAATTACAGTTTGTAAGGTATTTCAGAAGATGTGAGATTGGTTGAATAGATTTGCACCAATATGAGATTACTGTCTTCTGCTTAGAAAGGATTCATGTGAAGTAGCTGCTATTTTCTTTTTGTTTCTGATGGTACCCTATACACGCACAGAGAGAGAGAGAGAGAGAGAGAGAGAGAGAGAGAGAGGGTAGGAGCTCCAGAGGGTGTTTAAACGCAGACAGAAGGCTACAGCGAGGACACAGAGAGAGAGAGAGAGAGGAGGAGGAGGAGAGCGCCGCGGTTACTGCGCACAGTGAGCTCGCCAGCTCCACTCATCACCGAGGACATAACAAGTCGTAAAAATACCTAATACCGTGCACTGGAAGGGGAAAAAAAGACTTCCCCTGATCTGCTCCGATGACAGCGCTTTTTAATTTCTCCTGGAAGTGAAGGTTTAATACAACAACCATCTGAGCGCAGCCTGACGGACGATCGGCGCGTCGGAGGAGGAGGACAAGCACCGAACATAGAAACGTGGAGGTGGAGCAGCTTTGTCGGCAGGGTGCAAACAAACAAGAGAAAAACATTTTTTTTTTTTTTTTTTTTTTTTTTTTTTTCCCCCCGGTGTGGATGTATGAGAACTTGCCTCTGACACCACGGACTGTGGGCTCAACTGTGAGCTAAGAAGACTGTAAAGTTGTTTTGGGGGTGGGGGGAATTATAGGCGCACCCTGCAGCCCTGAGGATCTGCATCTTAATGTGACCTCACATGGTGAGGCTTTTTGGACTTACAGTGACACATTAGTTACTTTTTGTATGTCAGATACAAAAGCCAACGGGACCTCGTTCCTGCTGTAGAAATTACACTGTGTTGTCTCATCTGTCTGGGATGATCAGAAAGTGCCAGAGAGCGGATATACACGACTGGGACAAGTTCTGATTCTGTCGCATCGCGAACACAAGAAGCTTTTCTGCTTCAGCAAATAACAAATCTATATCTCAGACTGAAAAACCAAAGACAGCAGTTTTCCTAAGGATCCAAAAGCCCTTGCTTTGGTTTTATTTCTTTTGTCTTTTATTAAGAAGATAAATACCTCATAGACTAAGACTTATTTAACCTGGACCCTATTAGAGAGCACCCAAAGGAAAAGTTAAAATTTTTTATACCATCATATATTTTTTAGAAGGTAGAAGAAAAAGGGAATAACCCAACAAAGGCTTTATTTTTTTATTCATTTTACTTTTCTTTTTCTTTCTTTTTTTTTCAAAACGATGAGGATTGAATCGATATAAAACCCCGTTAAGAAGCGGTTTGGTGTGGATTATCGCTCAGCTTGACCTCGACCTTCACAAAGTGAGTAAAAAAAAAAAAAAACCTGCACACTCAAACTGCAAGGAAACAAAGGACTTTAGTTGGACCTCCAGTTCATTAGAACCTATTAAATGCAAGCTGTTTCCTATATGAAAGCTCAAATTTGTGAAAGGTCAAGTTTAAACTTCTAGGTTCACTTGAGGATTGGTGAGATGCTTGTTAATGTGAAGGTGTAAATTGGGATACCGTTCTTAAAGTGGTTTTGAGCATTTTGTGAATTTTCAACATGCTGAAGCAGCAAAGAAGATGTAGAGATATACTGATGTAACCATGCAAAGGGAAGCAGATATACCTAAAATGAAAGAAGTAATTTGCAGACGTTATGTTGGCACCACGTTTTTGTTTGGGTTGGGTTGATTTTAGTGTTGTGAGCAAATTCTGAGAGCCTGAAAAGGGAAAGACAAAAGAGGGGGTCATGAGTTTCTTCACCCCGGCAGTCTGTGCTGCACATCAAAGAGATGCTGAGACAAAGTGATGACACTGAACCTCTCTCCTCTCTGTGATTTTAGTGTGCATCCATGCTGCACAAAGGTGATGGGTGTGAGAGGATAAATGCAGTCATTTACTCTGGACTGAACTGTTGTGGGACTCAAAATAAAAGCCCCATCCACCGTTTTTTTTGTTTTTTTTGTGTGTGTGTGTGTGTTGGTGAGCATCATCACTGCGTCTGTGTAAGGAAAAATAAAACAGCGAGGCGAGAACCCTGTCTGGTTGAGTCTGCCGTGTATTCCTGTGCTGATGTGCTTGATGAGGAAAGAACTTGAAAACATTTCAACTGTGAAACATTTCAAAGGGTTTACAGCAACTCTACAAAAGCAGCAAACAGAGGCTTTCACTCCGCCTCCCCTACTTGAACAGCTTCAGCAGCAAACTTCTTCCTCTAAGTGCAACAGTAAAACACTCTGGCCATTTTCTCTGCAGGACACAACCCTGTATAATTGGCCCTGGTAAATATCATCTGAATAATTGAAGAGTTGATAATAGTCTCGAAGAATGGATGGGGAGGCTGCAGAGGTGAAACCGCAGTGCAGACACCCTGCCTCACCGCACATTATCCCTTCATCGCCGCAAAGAGAGCATCTCTTCCTCCCTCTGATCAGCAGGCCCTTCCGCCCGCTAAAGGCAGATGTCCCTACTTCATCACTGAGGAGCTCTCTTAAAAGGCAGCCCATTCATTATGACCCCCAGCCTGCAGAGTGTTTATTCACTTCCCATCTACCACAGGTGCACTGTCTTCTGTGTTTATATACTGGAAACATGCCGCCAGCCAGCGATAAGGAACCTGTTTTCTTCGGAGGATGTCAGAAGAGCATCTCCTGTAGCTTAACAAATTTGTTATGTATTCATGTGAGCCAGGGTTGCCAGATTTCGCCTCAGGATTCATCTGGTGTTGAACAGAAAACACTACTATTTAAAAAAAAACAAAACAAAACAAAAAAAACTTAAAAGTTTCTGTTCAAATGAAAAAAAAAAAAAAAAAAGACTCCTCTTCACTGTCTGGTTTTGTTTTTGACAACTGCAGAATCTGGACCCCAGCTCAGTTTGTGTTTACCGTACGATTGCGTGGGCTCGTTGAGCCCAGCTTTGTGTGTGGTTAATTATTGTGATCTGAATGCGGGCAGTGCAGGTGAAACCGGCTGCCTCCTAATTAATGAGCCGAGCAGATGGCCCTGGGTGGGCGGCAGCGTGAGCGTGCGCCGAGCCGGTCAGGTGGTCAGCACAGCACAGACACCTGGGCCGTCACAAACAAAACAAGGGAAGCAGCAGCCAAAAATAACAGGCCTGTTTTGTGTGCGCTTTTGTTTACATATGTTTTTGTAAGTCAACAAACAGATATAATGGTCTTTGTATTTGATATTTGTCACCTTTTACACGTTATCTGGCAGCCCGCTATTTTGGATTGGCTCACGGAGCCGCAGCTTCCTCACTCAGCTGTCATCTCTGTGGGTCTTGGTTGGTTTGCAAAGGAGGAGGTGATTGATCCGATTAGGCCATTGTTACTTTAAAAAAAAAAAAAAGCATTATAAAGGAATTCTTGTGTCACATTTATGCAAGTAATAATACCAAGGTCATTGTGCAAAAACAATCAAATTCTTTTCACTTGTTTAGTGACATTTAAAACTTTTCAGTGAATACTTCTCTGGTGCTGCTGTGACAAAGAGTTGCTCAGTGTGTTTTAGGACTGCACCATTAATATCATCATTGCAATATCGGTGCGCGCAATGTTATTATTGCAAAGAGCTGTTTGGAATGCGATATATGTTGGCCATTATGTTCCAAGTGTCAGCAACTCCTGCTTTGCATACTAATAAGACATTTAGCCTGTTGGATGAAGTCTCACTGCAGTAGATGCCTACACACGTTACAGAGAACAGTGCTTCGTAAAACAGTCACATGGAGAGGTGTGTATGCATTGTAATGACAGATGGGAAATAGAGAAATAGAGAAGTGGAGAGGTCGTCTATCTGTGTCAACTGATACCATTCTTGCAATATTTTGTAATATTGTGCAACAATTGCACACGTCGTACATTTGTTCTTGCGTATGCGTTGTCTGAACAAGTGAAACAAACATTCACATTCAATCTATAAACAACAACAACAAAAAAAACAAAAAAAAAACAAAGTGATTGACAGAACTGCGTACTTCATGTTTGTGTTTGTGGCAATCAGGAATACTGCGATTCATTTTCATCTTATTAGCTGATATCACGACGTTTACACAATGTGGTCTCCAGTGCATAAATATGTGCTGTTGTGTATTTTTTTTTTTTTTTTTTTTGGTAAATAAGGAGTTGCAGAGAGTTTGCCAAAAAGCTGGGTTCAGAAGTGCTTTGAATGTTGAAACATTTTCCACTTGTTGGGTCTGAGTGTGAACTCATAAAACCACTGAAGGCACTGACGCTAGGTTGTGCTTGACTGGAGATGTTAGCCATCATGTCATTGGTATTCTTTTCATTTATTACATAAAGGGAGATGAATTGTTGAGCAGGACTGGAGCTCCAGGTTGTTTCTAAGTTTGATTTTACAATACAGATATGTCAAAAATATTATTTGTTTTGTGTAAATATGGTAGCAGTATATGAGGTGACGATCCTGGGGGTTAATGTTATCCTGCTATGAAGCCTCCTGCTGAGAAAGAGCAGTAAGGTTCTGGCTGCCTCGTCCGTGTGTGTGTAGCTGTATGCTGGTCTGCTCTGCCCTGGTCCACATGTGTTTGATATTATTGCGACAAGGCTGCCCAGCCTCTCTGGGGAGACTGAGAATGTCAGAGACCAGAGTCGAGAAGCGAGGCAGCTTCCCAACATCTGATGGAATGAGAAACACACTCTCTGGATGCTTGGCCCGCTGACGGCTCAGCGTGGGAGCCAAGCAGAGGGCGGAGGCCAAGCAGAGCCACAATCGTGTGTTAGGAGTATCACTCTTTCTCTCTTTACACTTTTCACTGCGGGGACGTGTGGGATCGAACACAGCGCACACGCGGTCATGATTTCTGCTGCTTTCTCCAGATTACCAATCCTGAAGAAACTAAAAAGCAAATGCTAAAACGCATAACCTACTGACAGCTGCAGGCTAAGAAAAACACATCCTCCTCCTCCCTTCCTCATCTTGTGCCAGATTCACCTCCTGCTCTCTGTCCTCACCTTGTACTTCCCTGCATGCCCGCTGACCTCTGACCCTCCGTCGACCTTCTTCGCCTTCTCTTTCTCAGCCTCCTCGCTGCACCGACTGCACCACCCCGCCGACTTCACGGTAGGAAGTGTGTTCAGTTCGGAGTCAGACTGAGGAAACAGCTGGGCTAATCTACAGTAGCAATGGACTCTGTTTTAATCAAGAGGACAGGTCAACAGCGAAAAAGGGAACTTCATATCACCACCCATAACTCGCAAAATGAATCCCTCCCTTCCCCTTTTGCCTCCAACTGAGACCTTTATCACAAGCGAGGGGGGTAAACAAGCAAAAAAAAAAAAAAAAAAAAAAAAAAATGGACATGGACCACTCCAAAGAAATCCTCTCGCTGGAAATCTTAGGAAGTGCTGCAACGGCGGAGCGTGCAGCCGCAGAGTGGGAAGGAAGGCATGTCTGTCACGTTCGCTCTGTTTGTCTCCTTACATTATTTGCAAAATTAAAAATGCCGTTATCTCCTGGAAACAGATCCTGTGCCACACAGATGGTTCCGTCTCTTCAAATGGGAAGCTGAGCCACTGAGTGCCGTTGTGTTACCAGTTAGTCGCACAGACCTTAATCTCGGCTCCAGCCTTCCTTCCTCTCTCTCTCTCCACATACACACACACGCACACACACACACACACACACACACAAAAAGCACATTCAGACAAACTGAATCCTTTGACATAAATGTATTGTCCCTCTAAACGTTTTAACAGCGTACAGACACATGCACTGTACTAAAGAGAGGTCACAGATTTTTCGAATGTGTCAGAGAGTGGCAGTCACTTTGATGAGCAAGTTATAACTAACATTACAACTTTAGCGCCATTAAACGGTTCTGCTTGCGGTCAGTTTCAATTAAATAAAACTGAGTTTTACTGGGCTGGTGTCATACACAGCTGGTATGCTTTACTGTGTTTCCATCTTCAAAGTCTAAACGTCACAACAGTGACCCACATGAACTCTGAGCGTAGGCAAAAATCAAACAGATGATAAAAGACCAGAATGACTTCTTCAGTACTTTAACTTTTAAATGTGTTTAATTTGCATGTAGGTCAGATTAGTAGATGTCTCCAATCTGACTTTGACAGTTTTCACTCCAGATTTTGCACACAAAGTAGGGTCGCATGGAAACATTGCGGAACTGTAAGCAAAGAAAGAGTCAGAAAATATATTAATCATAATCAGTATCGCCACTGCAGTTTTTACCAGTAGTTTTGGAAAACCATGTTTTCCTGATATGGAGTAATATGTCGAGGCACAGAGAATACATACAGATATTACAGATTCGTAATTTACTTATTCTTGACA